CACCAAGGGTAAGAAGAAAAGGTTCTACAAGTATGTTGATGAAAGGAAGAATAGGGAAACTGAGGTCCCTCTCCAGAGGGAAACAGGAGACCTGTTACCCAGGATATGGGGAAGGCTGAAGTACCCAGTGACTTTTTTGCCACAGTCTTCACCAGCAAGTGCTCCAGCCACACACAGCACAAGTCCCAAAAGGCAAACACAGGGACTGAGAGAATGAAGAATCACCCACTGTCGATCAGGTTTGAGGAACCCAAAGGTGCACAGGTCCATGCGACCTGATGAAATGCATCCACAGGTTCAGCCAGAGAACTGGCAGATGAAGCATCTAAGCCACCATGCATCATATATGAGAAGCTGTGGCAATATGGTGAAGTTCCCACTGACTGGAAAAAGGGAACCATAACCCCCATTTTTAAATGGAGAAAAAAAAAAGAAAAGAAAGGAAGACCTGGTGACAGGTCAGTCTCACTCGGTGTTCAGCAAGATCACAGAGCAGATCCTCCTGGAAAATATGCTAAGGCACACGGACAGCAAGAACGTGATTGGTGACAGCAAACGTGGCTTGACTAAGGGTAAACCATGCCTCACAAATTTGGTGGCCTTCTATGATGGTCCCACAGCATTGGTTAGGATGAGAAAAGTGACTGACATCTATCTGGACTTGTGCAAAGCGTTTCACACTGTCCCACACAACATCCAGAGACAACCTAAACTGGATGGATTTGACAGATGGACCACTTGGTGGATAAAGAATTGGCTTGAATAGTCACACTCAAAGAATTGTGATCAATGACTCCATGTCCAAGTACAGACCAGTGAGAAGTGGTATTCCTAAGGGGCTGGTATTGGAACCAGCACTGTTTAACATCTTTGTAGGCTGCAAACATTGAGCTACGTTACCCCAAGTTTCCAATTTTTAAATAAAAGCATTTCCCATTCATTGTGCAGAAAAAAATCACAGAAGAGAAAAATAATTTGAAATCTTGCATGTTCACAAGTTACCTGATTTTGTATCAAACATCTGTGTATTTAAGCTTTTGTTTTCACCATCTAATGCACAGCTCAGTGTGAGAGACTCAGCAAGAGATTCCTTTCATCTTCCAGACCCCAAATTCCTTGTAATACTAACATCAATTATATATAATTGCTGAAAATAAGCACCTATGAAAATGTAAAGGATCGATATCTATGCAAATTCATATCACCCAAAATAGTTTAGAAATGAAAGACACCTGTAGTACTACAAAACGCACTGCAAGGATGAAGTCAGCTGACATACAGCACTGCTACCCGCTCTAACACAGCAGAAGCAGGGTTGGGAGCATACCCATACATGTTAGTAGATAAACCAGTCCCCAGATCCAAACCAGAAGTCAGCTACTTACATGCGGAATACAGAACAGTCAGTATGAAAATACAACAGGTTTATCCCATGAACTTTGTGTACATAAATCCTGACCCTGAAAACATTTACATGCAGGCTTAACATTAAGCCTAAGAACAGACCCACTAATTCTGAAAGAAATACTTGGGCATTTAAAACTAAACATATGTAAGCACAAACATCTGCAGAATCAGGGCAAAAAAGAAAAAACAGACCACAAAAAGCACACACCACAGAATTAATTATTTTTTATTGCTCTGTAGACATCATGACCCAACAATTACATTATTTGATACTGGCATTTAAAAGAATTTTCATCTTTAAAAGGCACCACAATCTGTAACAAACTCCACTGACCTAATAAAGCAATTAAGCAGCATGCAATTCAGTGTGTGACATTAAAATTGCCTCTGCAAAGTAAGTCAATAAAGAATTTTCACATATCAGAGACAAGCCACTGCTGTATCAAACAGGCAACTAATTTCCTCTGGTGCCTTTTAACACCAAATGAATGCTGTTTTCTTATTAGTTACAGCTCTTAATGTTTACTAGCTCTTTAAACAAGCATAATTTTGCTATTCTGAGACAATAACTTGTATTAATCCAGTGTCTAGTACAATCATTATACATTTCACTTTGATAGGGTTGGTATCATTTCTTCACAGTTGCTTTCAACTGTATTAAGACATTCTTTAAGAGTACATAAAAACTGGATTAAAAGAAAGAGGGGAATATTTTGAAGTATTTTTAAGTAGACAGTTTTAGCTAGCAGCTAAAATCATCCTGCCGTTTTTAGTGATACAGGCCCATAAATATACACTGAAATCGAGATGGACAGGCTGTTCAAGGGCAAATAAAGCCTTATGAAAAAACAAAGTTTCATCAAGGTCATCAGGGCTTCAATGAGAGCAGACTCCAAACAAATGCCAAAGCTTGCAATGTCAAAGCAAGCATTTCTGTAATTATGCATGACAGGTTTCATTAAGCTTATTTTTTAACCTAACCCAACTGTCTCAAGAGAACAGTACTTTTCCACTCCATCACCAGCTTACACTCCTCTTGTAAAGTTTTGTCCCTAAAATGTAGCTTAATTTTCATTTAGTTTTAATTGAATAATTCAGGTCCCGTATAAGGAAATCCCGCTATGTTTGCAAATCTCAGACCCAAGTCCAAGGCCTTGGCCTCTCTTGCTGAAGCCACTGGGCAGAGTTAGGGGTCAGTAGAGTCAAAAATTCAGTACTGAAAACTCTCATTGTAAAATTACACTTCCCCTCCCACAATATCCAGAGATTTTAGAATTGTAATAATACAAGCACTTTAAAACTTAGCATTACATTAGGGGTTTTTTTTTATTATTAAGAAATTAATTACTTGGGCATAGTGGTGTCCATTGCAGCTGTTGAATTTGGAACTAATAATTTCATATTGCACTATGTTTATGAAAAAGGATTCTTCCCTCAGCAAGCTTATAATTTAGAAAGATACAGAGTAAATGATGAAGTACCATATTAAATCTTATGACTCTAGAAAGTACACTGATAAACCTTGTTCCCATTTTGAGGAAATGTGTTTTAATAATGTCAGGGCAGCATATGGTACTATCGTGTTTACTTTTCAAGTGGTAGGGACACTAACCAAAACCATCTGATGTTTCTCCCTAAGCCTCCTTGATCTGCTGCTGGATTGCAGCTTAGACTAAAGCATCGTGAAGCCAAAAGGAATTGGGCAGAGGAAAAATAAAAAGCCAAGTAATTCAAAGCGTTTGTTCAATGAGAGCCGAGCTCAGACCAGTTTCCCTTCTAACAGAAGCTCAAGAGCATTTATGATTTGAAATTTATTTCCAGAGACTTTCAAACGTACCCCAAAGCTAATCCCCAACAGATATTTTTTTTACTTTGCACACGGAGACAAACACAAACCCACAATATCATGTAATTAAAAAAGGAATTAAGCGAAGCTCAGAAGTACTTAATAGTGGATTTCTGCAGAAGTAAACAATCAGCTCTCTGCATCAGGAACAGTGAGAAGAGTCAAAAGGGACTGTCAGATTCCTCACTACCACCGCTCCAGCAACTGCTTTCTCAATTAGTTGGCCGACGAGCAATGACAAAGTATGCCTTGCTAAAACTGAAAAGACACGAGGCTTTTAAGTCGTTTAACCACGTTTTCAGGGATAAGAGCTAACAAACGGGGGAAAAACCCAGACCGCCTGGGTCAGAGAAGCGAGGACCGGAGTTAATATTTCGAAATAGCTGCCAACTAACTACACAGGGCTCAGAGACATCTCACAGGCAGCGCCGGGCTGCAGCTGTAAGACCCACAACGTGAAACCACCTCCTGCAGCAGGGGCTCGCTCGCAGCTGTTCCCCTGCCTCCCCCACCCGCAGTAACCTGACTCCCTCGCAGGCAGCCGCTCCGTTAACCGAGCTGCCCGGGAGCAGCGGAGGTGCGCTCGGGGACTCGGAGCACAGCCGCTAGTGTAGCAGCCCCACCGCCCGCGTCCGTCGCGGCTCCAGGCGCAGTCCCCGCTCACCGCCAGCGGGCAGGGAACCGCTCGCAGCCGCTCTCCCGCGGAGGCCGGATGGAATCCCCGCTCTCCCCGCGCAGAGTCGCTCCCGCCGAAGCCCCGGGGCAGAGACCCTGCTCACACACCTCAGCCCCGGCTCCTCTCCCGTACTTGTTGCCCCTACAGGGCGGCGCAACCCGGCAGCCGCAGCAGGCCCAGCCCCACCACCTCCGCGGGGAGCCCACCGAGCCGCGGCCGAGGAAGAGCGGGGGTGCGGCCGCCGCCGGCCGAGGGGAGGGCGGCTGAGCCAGTCGGCACCGCGGTGGGGCAGGGAAGTTACTCACCACCGCCGCCGTCCGCACCACACTCTCCTCAGCCGCAGCCGCGCCCCTCAGCCGAGCCGACCCCGGCCGCGCCCGCCTGCTCCGCACGGCGGGAGGCAAACTCCGCGCAGCACTTGGCGGAGCGCTCCTCCGCTGGACCGGGCCGGTGCTCCCGCCCCCCACCCTGGGAAGCGGCGCAGCCCAAGTGACAGCCGCGCTCCGCCACTCCGGCGGCAGCCCGGGGCGCGGGGCCGGGCGGCCGGGCGCTCACCAGCCTATGGGAGCGCGGCCGGGGCGGGCCGCGGCGGAGCCCTAGGCCGGGGTGTCCCCACCACTCGCCTGATCGCAGATCGCCTCGTGGGGCGGGGCCCCGGCGGAGGAGGGGCCGGCCGGGAATGGCTAGCACAGAGCACTGAGAGAAGACCTGTCCCTGTCCGCCGGAGTCCTGCGGCCCCACTGAATGAAAAGTTCCCGGGGACTCCGCCGCTGACAGCAGGCGCAGCCCCACTCCCGCCTCCCCGGGAGCTGCCGCCGAGCCCACTCCCGTCCGTCTTCACTCAGACACGGACGAGCGAACGGTGAGCGCCCCACACCGTCTTCTCCTGGTGCGGGACCCGCAGCGCTCCTGCCGCCGGGACGGAGGTGTCTGGTGCGTCCTGCCGGCATGCAACAGAGCGGGCAGGAGCCCACCGCGCCGGCTGTGACACCGCTCTCCCCCTCCTGAGAGGCCGCTCGCGCCCGCCTGTGGCCGTAGGTACCCTGTGGGTGTGGCGGCGGCCCGGCTCGCCCCGCCCCGACTCCTCCCCGCCGGGGTCCTCACCGTCCTCTGCGCCTGCCCCTGTCGCTCTGGGCTGCGAAGGGGGAATGGCGCTGGCATTCGCTTAAGGAGCTGGGCCGTATCGGGGAGAGTGGGCGCCGACATGGAGGAGGACCCAGACCTGGAGAGGTGAGCGGCGAGGACTGCTGAGCGTCTGCCGGAGTTCTGGGCCTTAGCGGGTTTTCTCCCCCGAACAGGGCCCGGCGTCATTTTCTGCCCCGCAGGGCCCAGGCAGTGGTGGTCTGGAGCGGGCCCCGGGCCTCGCGAAGTGGGACGCGGGCTGCGGGGCTCTGCGCTGCTTGCCGGTGTGCTCCGAGCTGGCCGCTGCCTTGGGACGGCCCCTCCGGCGCCCGGCCTGGCTCTCGGGGCGGGAGGCGGCTGCTGGTCCACGGGGGGAGGAGACCGAGCTCGGCTTTGCTCATACCGACACCGCCGCGGCCCCTGGGTAACGGTGGGTGCGCGCCAAGGGGTGCGCCCCTGGAGCTGCGCTGCTCCGAGTTCTCATGACAAACCCTTTGAGGCCTCGCTGGGGGAGTTGCAGTATAAAAGTAACCAAATCCTCGTGCATCATGAGGAAATCCATTACAAAAACCAGTTATTCTTGTGAGGCATGCAGGTACCATTTAGAAACAAGCTTGAGAAATCTTAGCTGGCTCATCTTTCATCAGTTATCATTTGGTGATACTTGGTGAAATAAATAAAACCCAAACTTTATTTTCTTGTAAATGGTAAAATAAATAAAGCCCAAACTTTGTTTTCTTACAAATTTCAAGGTTCAGTGCTGGAGATCTGGCTGTTGACTAACTGTTAAAATTGTTCTATTCCTTGTATGGAATAATACAAAGTGTTTGGCAGTTATTTTGTGGAAAATAATTAAATTGTTTTCTGCTTTATGTTTTCTTGGGATGAGAAGATGCACCTCTCTGTGCATACTGAGTTACTTGTGTTCCCAAGCAAACACTTAGGGTTTAAATGTAGATTTCTGTATGTGGACTCTCAGTCACAGTAGGCCTCTTACTTTTGCTTTAAGGAATAGACTTTAGGTGTTTATATCACAAATTTTGGAGTAATAATCCTATTTGTAGTTACTGGATTTTTTTTTTTTAAACATGCTTGTTTGTAACTGCAGTTTTATTATGGATGTTTAAAAAAACACGTTACAGTGACTTGATGACCAGAAGCTTTCTGAACTGTTCTCCTCATGGGTCCCTCCCTTAACTTTAAAGAAACTATGTCTGAGAGTGCTTATAGAAAATAACTTCTCTCTGCTTATATCTGTCAGGTATTTTAAACGAGCCAGAATTGATAGCACTGCAGTGGTGGAAGGCCTCAAGCACATAATGCTGTCTAAGAGGCCTTTAATTCTTAGTAAGCTACTTCTGCTCTCAGATCATCACTTAAAAGTTTCTGTATATGCATGAATGTTATTTTTACTAGTGGCATTCCACATTTAAACCTTTTTCATTCATAGCAAGTTCAAACTGTGTCACTGTTCTTTCATGCTGCCTGTCTTCTGGCTTCTGTGGCTGTGCTTGGGACTTGAGGTCCCCCAGGCCTCAGGGTATAGCCAGTCAGTCACTGTCTGTGGCTGCCTGCTCCAGTCTTGTTCTGATGCTCTCCTTCCCAGGAGCCAGATTCAAAGTTTTATCCAGCCTCATAGCTTCAGTTGGAATTGGGATTTGCTATTCCTTTGCTGTGGCATTATGGTAGTGAAGAAGCAGCTCAGTATTACTTATCACGTGGTACACAGTAGAGTTTAACTATCCAATGTCTTCAATCCATGCTGCCATCTGTCTCTGAACACATTACAAGTACAATACTTGATTATCACTTTCTGGGCTGGATCCTCCTACCATGGGATAAGGCTTTTTGCAATCTAGTCCAGTGGAAGATGTCCCTGCCCATGGCAGGGTGGCTGGAGCTAGGTGGTCTTTAAGGTGCCTTCCAACCCAAACCATTCTATGACCAGTTACGTTTTCTGCCATCAGCTTTCGTAACAGCTCACTTTGCTAGTAGCACCCTGAATTCAGCTTGTGCTGCATGCATGTAGATGTCATGCTTGGATATTTCTTACTCCAAATATGCTTCCCTATACAGTCTTCAGGAGTTTAATACAGACCTTTTTATCCTTTGGTTTTACAGACATTACTCCTTAGTTTCATATTCAATGACCTGTTGACCATACTCTCCTGTGAGTAGTACAGAGATGGTAGTTAAGGTTTATAATTTTTAGGCTTTTGATAATATGGCTTTTGCATACAAATAATGGCATTTCTGTTCTCCAGCTACAGTGTTAACTATTTCAGGTATATTTTGAGTTTTTAAAAATGGGCTTATTTGGAATATTCTCAGTAGTCTGTCTCTGAATTTATGCTTGTCTTGCATGTGCAGGTCTTAAATAACAGATGTATGGGGTTTATTTTATTTACCATGGCAGAAAAAGAAGTATAACTTTTTTTGTGCATGTTTTCTTAGGTCTGAAACAAATTTTGTGCCCCAGCATTCCAAATAGTGATCTGTTAAGACAAATAAGTCCTATTTCTTTGTTGTTATCTAAGGAGAGGTCTCTTCATCTTGCTTGTTCTGTTTTGCCCTTACTGACACATTTTCCTGCTGTTATTTTTCAGTTTCACTGTGTCTGACTCTTCCTTGACCTTGCGTTTGATGTTTTTCTCACTTTAATACGAAGTGATAGTTGCTATCAAAGCTGAATACTGACTCACAAGTTACCATGTGACTGTTGCATACTCTGGATTTTAAAACTGTAAATGCTGTAAATACTACAAGTGTGTAAAATAGTAATATTTGCTGCATTTTGCTGACTTACTTCCTCTGCTCCATTTCACGCAGTAACTTTTGCTAGAAGTATGAACTGATGTTTTTTCCTGTGAACGTACTGGTACATCAGTGAAGGCCCAGAGTCTTGAGATACAGTGTGAATCTAAGAAAATTCTAGACTAAATTCTGTTAATACATAATTAATGGTATTGTGAAGATAGGACCCCAGAAGGGGGGGGGGGGGGGGGGGGGGAAAGGTTACAATCAGCTACTAGGAACTGTTTAGTTTATTTCCCCTGAAAGAAAGTGCATGTCCTTTTCTTAGTTTATTTCAACTAAATATCCATTGAGATATTACAGAAATAATACTTTATATCCCTATCTAAAATAAAACTTCTTTCTTCCCTGTCTCCTTCCTAAATTGTCATGGTGGTTTTGTGTGTTTGAAGCCAGCAAATATGTCATTTCTCTGTGAACATAAAAGTAGCTTTGTTACATATTTGTCTAAATTCTTCCATAATCCATTCTGTCTTTCAACAGCTATAAATATTACATAACCTTGGATACCATACTTTATTAGAGGTGCCTACTGGGCTTGTTTGGAGCACAATTTACTTGGAATTAAGTGTTTCTTAAGGAGGTGCTGTTCTGAATCATGAGGATTGCTTTAATTCTGTCACAAGAGGACTGTAGCTGAGAATCTGTAGTCTAATATTTTTGCTGTACAGGCATCCCAATTACACTTTTCAGCAAGCAAGCTTTGTGCCTTGGAGGTGTTAATTGATAGTTCTTACTGTTGTTTTTAACAGTTAAAAATCAAAGTTTTAGGATTTGGTATGCCATTCTTTCTCATATTCATGGCAAAAAAAAAGTGGTCTGCAAGTTAAAATCAGAGTCTGAAATGGAGTGGTATGTTCACTACTCAAGCTGGTCAGAATATCAACACAGAAATGTGCTGCAAATAGAATTCATGGAACTGACAAATAGAATGTTTAAGCAGGTAGAAACCTGATCGACAGAGGGTGAGAGCATTCACATGCCCAGTGTGGTGTGTCTTTGCCCTTGAACAAATGTTAGCAAGTTTGTGGCATATTTGTCCATTTTTTTTCCCATTCTTGCTCTTAATATTGTGGGTTAGGCTGTATTTTTGACACTTGTTTTCATCAGTTTTCTTAGTAAGTGTGAGCAGATAGGCCAAATCAGCTCACAGGAGTCAATTGTAGATAACACTGGCCTTCGTTACCATTCCTTTACTGTGAAAGGCGGTATTTTCAGTCTTTTACTTGACTGAAGGGCTTGAGATTAATTATTCAGATGTAATCAGAATACCAACATCACTTCTATTTCCAGTCCCATGCATGGTTGAAAAGAAGTTGTGTAGTCAGCATAAAACTACGTTAAGAAAACGGATTAAAAAACCCTGCTATTTTCCTTCCTGGGCTTGCAGCTTGCTGTCAGAACCTAGAGTGCCTCAGGAAGTAGGTTTAAGTGTGATTTTGGGGATTGCAATAGCCAAGCAGCCTGGCCTTTGAGTTGAATAGTAATGGTATAGACTGCAAGCGGTTATTAATGCTATGAAAGTCTTTCATGAAAGTGTGTAATAAAGATGACCCTTCTCTGACTTTGGGAGGTGTTGAATACGAAGGCTGCCCTACTGCTCCAGGTCTGTGTACTTCCATAGCCAATTGTGTGCTGTGAAGCAATTCCAGTAGATACATTTTCATTACAGTTCTCATCAGATCTTTAACGAGATGATGGCATGGGTGGAGATGGCAGAGTTTGTTAGGTTATGTGCTGAAAGCTGCCAGGCATGTCCACAGAGGAGGGGGACTTCTTACAAGGGCATGTAGGGACAGGTCAAGGGGAATGACTTCAAACTGAAAGATGGTAGATTTGTGTTAGATATTAGGAAGAAATGCTTACTGTGAGGGTGGTGAGGCACTGGCACAGGTTACCCAGAAAAGCCGTGGCTGCCCCATCTGTGGCAGTGTTCAAGGCCAGGTTGGATGGGGCTTGGGGCAACCTGGTCTAGTGGAAGGTGTCCCTGCCTGTGGCAGGGGAATTGCAACTAAGTGGTCTTTAAGAACCCTTCTGTGGTGACTAAAGGAAGACCATGGTGGATGTGGGATCCCAAATAATACCCAGCCCTGACTTCTCCCAAGCCCATCCCAAGAGCCACCAGCCCATCAGCGGTCCATCTTCACAAGCTCAGAGGAGCACAGGGCACAGTGTCAGATGGGAACCCCACAGTAAGGACCAGGAGGAATGAATGTCTTCTCTAGGCCTCTCCCAGGACTGACTCCAGGAGCCAGCCTCAGCTTCCAGGCGTGACACCCATCAAGATGAGTCAATGCTGGGGTGCCTTTGGGACTTAAGGGTGTTGCTGCCTAGGGTTTTGTGACGCATTATGGGATGTGTGAGAACAGGATTTTGAGATTGCCTGTGGCTTATTATGGGATGTGCAGGGGAGGAACCAAAGGTGGGGAAAGGGATAGGTTCAGGTGACTTGCGGAGAAGCAACAGTGGGGAAAATAGAGGAATAAGGGAATCGTGAGGTCCGGTTGTGTGGATAGGCTGCTGAATTTTTCCACTTGTCTACACTTTGCCTGCTTGGAATAGATTTTCAACCTTGCTGCTGGTTGGACCTGGGTATAGACCTGTAGCTGTGTGGCCTCTCAGCCATCAGATCCAGCATGATGTGTCTTCTGCTAGCAGTGGTCTGTAGTTACAAGCATTGGGTGGTCTCTGTAATGACATGGTGTTTTCATTGCCTGTAACTGTATCAGACATAACTCTTTATTACCAATTATTAATTTTTCAACCTGTTTGATCTTTGGGGAAAAAAAAAAAAAGCCAAATGAAACCTGAAGCTCTGCCCTGAGTGAGGAATAGAAAGTATCTCTGGTATTGCCTGATTTCAGAGCCTTAAACGTTCTCCCGTTCTTTGAGCACATTCATTTGTAATGCAGGTTGTTAGGATTTATTTAACAGGAGCTTTGCCTGTAACCTTAGAATATAGAGGAAAAAGTCTAATCTCTCCAAAATGTAGCTAGGTCTTGGGACCATGCTCTGGAAGATAAAAATACCATTGCTTTTATCTTTGTGTTACTGTATTTCTGCAGCTAAGCTTGACTGCTCAGAAAGGATTGCCACAGCAAGTTTTAAGTGGTACTTGCTATAAACCATTCCAGAATGATTACAGTGTTCTTAAATGTGCCCCTGACCCTAATTTTCCCTCCTATCAATCCCATGGTCTTTGGGTGGCTCTCATGTGAAAGCTGCGTGCTGCATTCCCTTTGCTCATGCTGCCACTCCTGGAGTTGAAGCTGGCAGCCGCAGGACTGTTTGTATTACAACCAAGCTGTAAAAATGAAGAGAACAAAGAATGCAGAGTCCCAAGAGGCCTCTAAAAGCAAATGTAAAAACCTCGTTTGCATAGCTTTTAAGCTTTTGGCTTGCTTCTGTAGAGGGTATAAGTTCAGTGAGTGGAAACACATTCTTTCAAAGAGGATCTGAGCTTGGTTTTTCTCATTTGTCTGTGCAAGTCGAAAGGGCTTTGTAAAGGTGCAGTGAGTAAGAGTGATGTTGAAAGACCAATATTAGGAAACAGTGTTTGATTACAAAGGAGGGTGTTGACTTATAAGGCTACTAAGATGGATGCCAAGTCAGTCTGATCTTTGATATAACCAGAGAAAAAAAGGTCTCAGATACTTAATGGCTTATAATTCCTTCCTAAGTTAATAGAATTGGTGTCACCATATTAATTTATTGTTATGTTTCCTCTAAAGCCAAATCTTAGTTGTTAAAAAATGTGTGTTTTATTAGTGCTTTGTAGCTCAGATGCTTTGGGTTACGATTTTAATTATAAAATAAGGAGAGGTTTTATAATATTAACGAGAAGCTTTTTATCTGCTTCCTAGTCAGGTTTCTCAGAACATTATCGCCAAGTTTGGTAACTGGAGAGTAAAAGTCAGACACTCTTTTTCCCCTTTCCTCCTCTTCATCTGACATTGCTGTTTGAAGGCTCAGGACAAGCTTTTAGGAAGCCATGTGTTTCTGCTGTCATGACTATAAACAAGCTCAGGCTGCTCAGGTAGCAAATTCTGGGTCTGGAGAAAAACTAAATTATGCCATAATTTCATTGAAGCCTGTGAATGTAACATCTCCCAAGTTCCAGTGGCAGAGCCTTTGTTTCCTACCCTTTCTTTCTGGAGGAGTAGCTGTCCCACACACCCACTGCTCTTACCTGGGAAGGCAGGAGTAGCTGGTGAGTTTGCTTATACTGGACTTAAGATCTACATGCAGGAAACTCAGACAGGTGACAACTTACTGGGCAGGTACTCTGTTTCCATGAATGGCTGTGATGTGACTGGGTATACAATATGTCCTCACAATCTTTAAGCACAATGCTTAAAAAAGGTTTTGAGGTACCTCAAGCCCAGCTGCTGCTGTGACATACTAATAATCTTACATAAGAAAGAGAGAGACTTCTATGAGGAACCTTTCACCAATGTGCCATTGATAGACTAGTGCACAGGGAAGCAATACTACAAATTTCAGCGTGTTTCTCTAATATCATTTCTGTGGAAGCCTTGGAACACTTTCCTTTGCAAAGCCCTTCAGATGCAAACTCTTAAAGGAAAAGGCTTATGTTAAGACCGTAACAAACTGAAGAAGGTTATATCTAGACTGGCAGATGGCAGGCTGCTGTGTAACCACATAGCACTTTAGCTATTGAAGGAAATTCCGCACTGCTTATTTTCAATCCCTGTTATGCCCATGCAGTGTATGCATTTAAAGCTAAGACCTCTTGTGTTTTCTATGTAGACCTTAATAACCTAAATAGTAGTAAATCATCCTGTTAGATGTTTAGAGCCCAGCATTAACTTGTTAGATCTTCCCATGAACCTGCAATGCAAATTGCTTACTTTTCTCCTCACACCTGCCTCTGCTGTTAGATAGCTCTTGACTTCTCTCGTCTCAATTTTGGCTTGACAACAAAATTGATACTTGGGCTTTTCTTAAGCTGTGGCAAAGCCCCAAGATCCTGCTATGCTGATAATACCATAACATGATGGGACATGACTTCCTTGAAGGTTGAGCTGACGTCTGGCAGTTGCATTTTTCCACAATCTACACACACACTTGTACGATCAGTATGACGACTGTGTTGCTCATGCAAGTCTAAATGCCAGCAGACAACATAGCAGGGAGACCTAAACAATAAATACCCTGTTTACTATCTCCTGCCTTCAGTTCCTCAAGCCTTCAGTCTTAATACTAGGTATTACGGCCAGGTACATAGCTTTCCTTTTCTGTCTTGCAGTTATTTTTGGTTGACATAAACAGTTGCTTACAGTTAACTAACCAAATTGTTAGTTTATGCATTCAATTTATAAAATAAATGGCTCACATTATCCATTCATTGGTTTTCCCATTAACTTCAAGCATGTACTGTAAAGCAGTTGAAATTAATTTGTAAAGAGAACTGAAAGACTGATATTGCAAGAGTTCTCTAATTTGCATAATTTAGACTCTGATGACTTTTTATGTGAGCATAGTTACTTAATTGCTACAGTGCTAGCCTGGCCAGTTTGTTTTAGAAGGTACTGAATGTAAAGGTTGGTTGTTCTGGGTAGTGGTGGATCATAGTCACAATTATGGTCTCTTTTCTTCCACTTTTACATGAAGGTAGTGCAGTTTCAGAGCTGGTAGTTGCAGTGATTTTATTATCATCTGACTGCTTGCTGTTCTACTGGTGGTCGTGAGCTGTGCTCAAAATAGGTCTGCTGTGGTTGAGAGACTTCAGGAAAAACCTATGTGAAGTGACAGCAGGGAAGAGCATTCCTAAAGTGAAGTGACAGGGACTTGCTTTTCAGTGTAGCACGTCAATTTTGTACACTTTTATTTTCTGCTCTTCAGTTAGTGTTGCAACTATTGTGTTTGCAACAGTTTTAATCACTTTTAATATCTTAGAACATTTATTTTAATTTTGGTGCATAGGAATGTGAATTATCTTAATAAAAATCAATATTATTTTGGTAGCCTCTTTATTTCTTACTTCATTTCCATGAAACAGCTATCCAATTTATTTACGTAAGTACATAAAGTGGCAAGTGCTTGTGTTGTGCAAGTGGTAACTTTTTTTTTCTCCTCATATTTAGGAAGGCTGTGGAAGAGTTACTTAAAGAGGCAAAACGCGGGAGAACCAGAGCTGAGACAATGGGAGCTATGGGTTGGTAAGTTGTGCGAAGAGGAAATGAATGCTATGGCCAATGCCAAAATAAGTCTTACATTTAACATGTGATAGAAGTCTCTTACCTTTAACGTGCTTCATGTTTAAATAATTTGTCTTCATCCAGGTATTAGTTTGTCTGGGCAAAAATTTGAGTCCAGATAAGAAGGAAGTTCAGGTAAATTCTGCTTGCATTAAATTGATTGACTGAATATGTTGAAGTCAAAGCAACTGGAAAACTGGGAATAGCTTCTATAATAGCATTTTCATATAATTGATGGAATTGTGATGTTGAGATTGGAACCTTGTGAGTCTTGAAAATACTGAGTAGCTTCAGCGTGCATGCACATACTGGCCACATTTTACTGGGTTACATTCTGTTTAAGTTAAAGGGATTTTAGCCTGAATTCACAACCTAACAAATCTAAACCCTTAATACAATGAAAATAAGAAATGATCCTCTAGCAGAAAATCCACATGTAAACTGCAGCAAAAAATGAACTCGAAGTATAATCCAATAACCCAGGGACTAATTTGTATAGCCAGCCGGAAAAGAATCACAGTATTTAAATCTTAAGTGAAATTCAGTATTAATTCTTCAGTGCAGTGTTTCAGTTTTTACAGCTAGATTATCATGGAATGTAATGCATGTAATTATGATTAAAGAAGTAATAACATGCTGAGAAGGGTTATTCATCTCTAAAGTAATGTATGTAACTTTGATAAGAAACTATTTGATCTAGGGATGACCATGCAAGTAGTGCATCAGTTGACTGTATTAACCTCATTTGTAGATATGGTTTGGCTTTCTCCACCAACCTGAGATAAGCCTGCACTGTTAATCAAGCTCTTAGCTGGTTTCTTGGTTATGTTTGTTTTGGTAGCTCTGAAGACATCAAAGTAGTGTCCTGATGAAAAAAAAAAGTGAATCTTTTATGTTTTCTAAACAAGTTTTGGGGTGTTTTCGTGTATTTTACCCAGTATTTCTGCTAGTGTTTATATCCTTTTTGTTAAAGTAGTTCAATTGATTTAATTCCCTAGGGTGGCTATAGCTATACTGACACAGCATGCTTTTGCTGTCAGCCTTGTCAGATGGCCAGGTAAACCAGTGCAGAGAATTAGCAGTGGTGTTGCATGTATCCAGTTACAGTGAGTTTGCAAGTTAATTCCAGGTATGGAGACTAAAGATTTCTGTTGGGAGATAGCCAAGTGTCACTGTGCAACTTTGCTGCCCCTTGTGCAGTCTGGAATACCTGCCAGGACTATGTATAGGCTTCTGTTCCTGGCTACTTGTTATTTCTTATCTGTAAAAGAGTAATAGCCCTGCTCAGCTGGCTATGATGATCAGCTTGGGATAGCATGCAGTTTACTAAAGTCTGATGCCCAAGACCTGCCAGAGGAGGAGATGGATAAGGGTGACCTGTTCTTCAGAACAGCTGCAGATTCCACTAGAGTGAAATAATGTCTGGCTATGCCAGGCTTGTGTGAAAGGTGGAGGAGAGGATAGTTAAAAGGCTTCAGGCGGAGGAAGACTGTTGACGTAAGGGTTGGTGTGGTGGTACCCTAAACTGAAACTGTTGAAGTAAGGATTCTTGCAACTGCAGAGGAACATGAGGATAGCTATACTGGGTGAAATAAAGGATCAGTCTCTGCAGTGCCCTGTCTCCTTTGGCAGTTGATACTTTTCCTAGGAAATGCAGCAAGAAAAGTACAGTAAGGTAGCAGTACTTCCTCAAGGTACAATCCTAGCTCTGGGCAGTCTGCAGCTCAGGCTATCCTGCACTGACATGGTGGGCTTGTTTGGTGTTTGTTTTTGTTTTTTTTAAATGATGCTTCTCCAGGGACTTTTGCCTCTGTAAATTTGTCCTTAGAATGGCAGTAATCCCATTTGTCAGATCTGCTGCCATAGAGTCTGGCATAGGCTAGTGTACAGCTGGAGTATGTGACCATACGTCATCACCAGCTTGTCTAAAAGCACGATCTTAGCAGGTAAAATGCAAAACCTTCCTTCCTTGCCAAATTCAAAATGCTTACAGGTGTGTTTCGTGAGGACTTCTGGGATTTCCTCAGCCCTTTATCAGAGGAGTCCTGAAGAAGAGATGCACAAACCCTGGAGACATCTAGTGTAAGGCCATGAGTCCCGCATTGATACTGGATAGTTGAAGCAACTCTGCCTATGAAGAAAAGATTTGTTCTGCCACCTGTCTTTGGGTAAGGAGAAGCAGAGGCTGCTACTGCTCATACTTCTCTGATTCCAGTTTATGTTGCTCTCCAGCACCTGATGAATACTGGGAAATAAATTTCTGGAGTCAGTGGCATTTCACAGGAACTGGTTAAAGGGAGGTGTGTGGGGAGGTGGCATTCCTGGGGGGATCTATATTGTGCATGCCATTACAAAGGAGTAGTGTCTCCTGGTGGGTGCTGATTGCAGCAAAAGCATAGTCAGCAAGCCTCTGAACACTGTTTTGGGACTGCTTTCAGGTTCAAAGCACTTCTCTGTTGCCGTCCAGAGTGGTAAGTTCTCCATAGTTCAAGTGCACTGTTTGAAGAAGGTTCCCCAAGCACACCTACCTTAACTTTTTGCTGTGTCCTCATATGAGATGGATAGTCAGCTGCTATTTAAGCCTAAACTGCAGGCATCAAGCTATCCTAGCTGACAGGTATAGGAAAAATGTCCCAAGCAGTCATCCTGTAGCCCACAGTCTTTGCTACAAAGACTCAACCTTTAAATATGGGCCATCCTTGCTAATATTTCTTCCAGTTTGGAATTGCTTTGCTTTAGTGTTACATTGTCTTATAAGTGCTGTTGATGACATTGGTAGGTGCTGCAACCTGTAGGGGTTAGTTAGTAGAAGAAAGGCTTATCCCCAGCAGGGAGGTTGGTGGTGACAGCAGAAAAGAGCTTATGTGGGAGGGGAAGTTATCTGAGACTCTCTGGCCATGGGGAATCTGTCAGTATTGAAGTCTGAGTTGGTTAAGAATCTTGTCTGTCTGGCCACCTTGCTCTCAGGACTGCTCAGGTTGGCAGTGTCTAGATCCTTGGCAAATTAATCCAAGAAATACTGGATATTCACATTTGTAGGTTTTGCATGATTGGCTCTTGAGTGTTAACTTGGATCTCCTCAAGATTCTTGTTCTCAGCACTGCAGCATTTCTAGTTCCTGCAGTGCTCCTTTTATATGTACTCTGTGGCCATAGTGATTCTTGTGAGAGGTCTCCTACATCCTTATGATATCTGCATGATGTAGATTCTGCTGCCGATGTATCTGGGTCAAGCATTAGTGGAACTAATCACAAACAAGAAAAGGTTTAAGAGAAGGGAGGATTCTCTTCTGAAGGTGTCTTTATGCCAGAAACGTTGAGTGAAAGAGAGCAGAATCTGTGGTTGAATCTCAGTGATGCTGCTTTGATGCTAGAACTTCTGGGAAGAGAAAGACAGCAAAACAACTGTTTGGAAGTTGCATTTGAAGGGTCAGCTGGATCCTGGGTGGGAAGTTGTGGGCAAATAGTGTAAAAACACTTGAAATCATTAGATAGATTTATCCTTGATTAATCAGATAGTATTGGACGCAGGTGGAATAAAGCTATAGGATATTTGGGGGTTTCTATTTTGTTTTGAGGTAAAATGAAGCTAAAAGCTCATCTTTCCTTAAGTGGTTTTGTTGGTCCTATGTACATAATTCATAAGCTTCCTTATAGCAGTGAAGTTAGGTCCTCTTTTAGGGGTTGTTCTGCTTTAATTCAGAAAGGCAGTTGAAATGCCACAAAAGCTACTGCTTGGGAAAGGTCTAGAGGCTTTTTTGGTTGGTTTCCTCAGTATGTAGGTCTTATCTTCGAAGATGCTAGTAACAAGTAAGCAAAGGCTGAACTGACTACAGTCTTCTTGGCTTACTTGAAAAGCTTACCTAAAATAAGATACGGAAAACAGGATGTTTTGGGATGGTTTGTTCTGCTCTACATTGTAAGAGCAGATGAAATTACAAAAAGAAGATAAAGTGTGGAGGCATTGAATTATTTTTAACTCTGTTTCTTGTAAGGCAACCCTAAAATTGCTTTCATTCATATAAATAGCTTTCTGTTCAATACCAAACGTGTTAGAGGTACTGCAGAATACAAAATCATGAAGATCTGGCTGAAGTGTTTAAGGGCACCGGATCTGCGAAATGCTGTATTGCATCTTGTCTTTGAATGGATGTTGCATGACTGTGCAGAAACACTGCAGTATGATTCCTCTACATCTCTTTCATTTACATGTAAAGAGCAGGAGAAACAAAGTGCAGACAGCGATTAAGAGTAAATGCATTAAAATCTTGTGATCAGAGTACAGGTTCCCATCTAAAGTCCTGCCAGCTGTATATGGCTACCAAGACCATAAAAGCTTGCAGTGTCCTCCCAGGCTTCCTATTTTATGAGATCCTTGTGAAGGGGTAACAGCCAGATAAGTTGGTTTGGCAAAACAACCCCTAGCTGCCTGTTGTTTTTTTTTCTTTTGCCTTCAGTCACTGTATCTTCCCTGGAAAGATGTGATTTACTGCGTATGCTGAGGCTGGCTCTGCCAAACCTGTCTGATATGTCCAGTTACTCAGCAGAGAAAAAGACTGGCGCATGGCATTCTGGTTTCTTAAATGGTATCAGCATGTTGCACTGTTAAGAGCTTGCACAGTAAAATGTATAGCTGAACTGCAGTGCTATACTTGATGACAGGTTTTGGCTGGAAATTCTGTAGTATTGCACAGAAGTTGGCTTAAAATATCAAAAGTAAGGATTTGACCTGTATTGGCAATAATGAATTTAATCTTTTTTGGTGCTCAAAATGTGGTGTTGACTCTTTGTCATTGCACAGTGGGGAGATTTTGGGGTGTGTGGGACTTACCTGTAGAGGGGGACAAGGTTCTGTGGGTGAGAACAGTTTGGTTTAGCTTCTTGGATCATGCAGTGTAACAAATGAACCCTTACACTGAGTGAATATGGTGCTACAGAATTGGAGTTAATTTTGTAGACCAGAGTGCTCAAGAATTGTAGGTTGCATGCTTGCTTTGGTCACTCCTGCAGCCCTGCTTCAGGCATGCTTCAGTTCGAACTTTAATGTTTTTTTTTAACATGCTTGGGGCTTTTGTTTAATAAAAGCTTTTAAAATCTGATCTGTGGCCCTGTTTACTAGGTAGCAGTATCATGTTCCACCTTGCATAGGCTCAGCTTGCCTCCCAGCCTTTCAAAATTTGTATTGAAGACAAAGTTGTCATTGAATTGAGTGTTGCAGGATCAGACCTACAGCAAGCCAGAAGCTTGTCATCATTGGAGTCGGTTTTCTCACTATTAGAAATGCTGTCAAAGATATCAGTGGATTAATGTGGTTCACTTTTAATCTTCACAGCTCCATATAACCATGGATATATGTAAACATTATGAGCTTTTGTAGCATGTGCTATTCATCTTGTTTCCTTTAAGAGTTAAAAGTAGAATTTGCTTTGTTAAAGTCTGAGGTCACTAAAATCAAGGACTAAGAATTCTCTTCAGTGCCATAACTTACTTCTGCTCTGTGAAAGCCCAGTGGCTTGCTTTTGTCGCTGTAGGAGGTTGAACTAATAGCATCTCTTAGCTGATGCTGAAGCCCTGGATTTCTCATCAGTTTTCATTCTTAATATAGCTCAAGGAGCACTCATAGTGCCAGAAAGAAATAAATACTTCAGGAAGGTGAATTTATTTAGGGCAGTTTCTCTCATTCTGGTGCTATATATTTACTACTTAATCAATGCATTAGCTCTTAAGAAAAAGCAGGAGGAAGGAGACAAATCTGAAATAGCTTTTGTGTGAGTGCAGCCTAAAGAAAGCTGCCCTCATTGGCAGGAAATGTTGAGGTGCAACAGTTTAGTGCTGGCATAAGACATACAGAGAACGTAAATGTTGTCTGTTTTGTGGTATGTCTTGAGTGTAACCTGTGCCATGGCATGTTCAGCACCATGTTCGTAGGTAATATAGCTTGAAGTAGAAACCGTATTCTACTGACATATGTTAGTCTTGTATTTTTACCCAGTAATACAGTTAATGGATAAATACTGTCTCCCTAATTTACAAAACAGCTATACTAGGTGCGGATCTAGAATTTTTTAATGATTTTTTTTTTAAACTAGGATTGGAGCAAACTAGTGTAGATTTATATGCAGAAAGCTTAGAAGACTCTAAAACTAGCTATGCTGTAGAAATAGTTCATGAGATACCTAGCGGAAATACGACAGTGTGGCTGTTTAATGGATACTTCTAAAATTACTCTCATGATTGTTCTTATTCTAAATCTCTAAAGAACTTATCAGTAATACTTAGTAGGCAGACCTGAAGCAAAACACCAGTGTAAATGCTGCATCCAGTTCAAAGTCATGAAGTATGTGAAACAATCAGATGTGATCTCTGTTACACTTTTCCTGTCATTCTGATACTTCTGATTATTCAGAGGTGTCAAAGATTTTTAAATGGTCAGGAATAGTTTCTACACTTAAACAAAATATTCAGATAGCATAAGTGATCCTAACATTGTGGTGTTAGGATTTGTTGACTCCATAGTGGATCCAGTAAGTGGCACTGTGGTCTCCAGCAGCTCTGCTTTTTTAGGGTAATCAGTAACTTCTCCAGAACTCAAAAATGTTGTGAAGACAACATCACGGTGCCTCCTACCAAAACCAAAGTCTTCAGGGTGATTCCTGCTGACTGCAGGAATATCTTCAAACTTGTTTTTCCTCATTCCATTCTTTAAGAGCTTATGAATTTGGAATACAGCTGATACCACAAGATAAATGAAATATACTTGTTTACTGGAAAGAGATGATAAACTATGTGCAAAAGTGATGAACTGTAGGAAGAGAAAGTTGGAAACGGTGGGAAAGAGTTGGATAAGTATTTTTTCTGTTTAAGAAAAAGAAATAAAACGTTGGTGGTTGCCAGATACAAGTTAAAATTGGTATGTTTTATCGCTACATACATTGGTATGTTTTATCGCTACAGCTGTTTGGGTTCTTAATGCAAGTATATATTTTGATTTCTGAATATCTTAATTTGTTACACAATTCTGACTTTAGTAGATCGTCATTTTATAAACTGTTCCAATTTGACTTGGAATATGATACTAAATATTTGATTCCTGAGTATCTAGGTTAAGCACCATCAACCTTAAAATATATTGCCATCCTGTGCTTCCCCCTGCACACACTACCCTGTGAAATTCATGTGGATTTCACTGTGTTGAAGTAGAATAATTTTAATCCTATAAAGGGTGACATAAAAGGAGAATGGAGACTACCTTGAGCATATCTTTCTGTTCTGAGAGTTTACACTAGGTGGCATGCAAGGAAAGCCAAAAGCACAAACCTGTCTTAAAAATATTTGAAGTTAAAATCTCAGACTTGTTTCATGATGGTTTTATCTTGTCTTTTGATGACTTTTAAATGTCTTTACAGGTTGAAATGTCCTCTTGCTGGTACAAATAAAAGATTTCTTATTAATACCATCAAAAACACATTACCGTCTCAAAAAGAACAAGACCAAGAACGTGAGCAAAAGGAAGACAGTAAAGAGCCTGAGCCGAACAAAAGTCGGAGAGAAGAAAAACCAAAGAAACGCAGAATTCACCCATACACACCCAGCTTTCAGTCCAGAAGGAGAGTCAGCTACTCTCCTCCAAGGCACGAAAGCAGGAACCAGCACACAAAGGATAAGCATGAAAAGCGAGCAAGCAAACGATGAGGAGAGTGATGAACATGCATTGTTAACAGCTAGGAATATTACTAAGTGTCGGACTGCAGGGATGTCTCAGTTTTTCAGGAAAAGCTACTGTTCAAAACTGAATTTTGAACCAAGATGCTTGTTTGAGAAGTAACCTTGAGGTAGATTTAGAGAACATTTCCTTGAGATCTGTAAGAGAAAAGCAGAATGCAGCGTAAATCTTTAGTTGTTTTAGAACAAACATTCCTTTCCCTTTGCTTCATTCCTCTTTCCCTTTCTGGCTAAGCTTAGAGTCTTGGTGATGGAGTGTGGTATATGTGTCACTAATAAAACTCATTTAGTCATGTCACCCTTTGGAAAAAAAAAATTCAGCAGAGATCTATTTATTGTGTAAAGCTGGCAGAACTTCTTTGCTGCTGACCAATAAAGAAGTTTTGCCTGTTTGCATTAGTTTAGTTTTACAGAATCTAGAGGGAGGGAAAGCTGGTCAATGCCTGGCCAAGCACATGGATTTTTGTATAGAATATAAGAATTAAAAAGAACAAATTTAAAACGGGCAATGCTTGTTTTGCTCTCCAGAAGGAACTACCAAGAAATACTGATTTGCTTGTTATTGTATATTCACAAACCTATCAAAGATAATAAACATTACCAGTAAAAAGCCATAACTGCAATAATTGTCTCTGTTTAGACTTCCCTCTGTAAGGAAATAGTTTGAACAGTCTGTTGTCATGGTGCTTTCAAAACAAACCTTGAAGTCAAAATTATCATGTTCTCTGTCCACTGCTAGAAGTTTCCAAGTAAATGTGTAATACTAGAAGTGCAGAGGTGATACTTAAAAACAGTCAAATGGTCACTTTCCAAGCCTGTGTGACAATTCTGTAGTGGTACAGTTCTTAAACTTGTGACTTGGAACACACATCAGCGTGTTCTATGTCTCACTTCTGTTTGTGTTCCAGTAACAAACTTCTGTGTGAAATATTTTGTATTTCAGTATTCTCAAAAGTAGGTGTTTTGAACATAGGTTTCCGGTTTTTAAGTGTATGGACAATAAAGTGAAAATGTTCATTGAAAGTGCTTTGTGGAGTTAATGCTTTTAATGGGTTTCTTCACTGAAATGGGCCTCCTCTAACGGAAAGGAGGACCAGCGCTTCGTGGTCCTTCAGTATTGTGTCGGGGTAAGAGTGCCACCTATAGGATTGTCTCTTCGTGCTGTACTCAACTCTCTTGGAAAGATCACGTTAGCTAGGAGGTGGGGAGACCAAGGCAGATCTTTTGGGGCTGGATTTTGATGCATGAGCTGGGAACTACTCTTCTAAGTAACGTGAAGGTAATTAAAGTGGTGCTGAGCCCACCAGTGGCTGCCAGGGTCACAGTAGCCAATAAAGTGGGATACTGCTACAATTCCACTGAGGAGTTGTGGACAATTTCTCTGTTTCCCTGCAGGAACCGTAGCACTAGAAGTCCCAGAAATTTCCAACGATTTAATTGTGATCCATGAAAAAAACAGTATTTTTGGAGATGTAGCACTATCTTTGCTTTAAATAAACAGATGTTGTTTGTAGTCCTTACTTTCGTGGACACTGGTTGTGTTCTTAATAATCGTTTTTTGAAGGACAGCACCTGTAATACTGGCTGGGCTCTGCTGCAGTGACAGGATAGATGCAGCTTTGCAGCAGAGTTCATCTCACCATTGGTCAGGATCAGGACTGGAGGTGTTCCACAGAACAAATCCCCATGAATTCTTGGTTGTTTGGCTTGTGATATGACAATGCCCTGAGACACTCAGTCCTTCAAACACCCCTCTAGGATAAGTGCTGCTGTTGTTTCTACATTGATTTAAGCCAGGCTTTTAGGGTAGGGAAAGTGAGCAGAATATGCTTTCAGCATTAGTCTGCATGGGTGCTAGAGAGTGCTTCCGTCCTAGAAATGCTCAACTAGAGGATCTGACATGACCTAAAGCAGATAGCTGGAGAAAGCCTGTCTTAATCAGTGGTGGTAAGTTCAGATCTAATTCTGCTTTTTTATGACTTACAGAACATATGCAAATTCTTTCTCTTTCATTGGTTGATTCTGTATTTTATTGCTGTATTTTATAAATGTATGTAATAAAATCACAAACCTGCTGCTCATTAACTGTTCTTAAGGCAAATGTTCACCTGCTGACTATTTAATAAAAAGAATGGGTACATAAAGCCAGGTTTGCGTTGTATCTGCAGTTGTTCATACTGTGCAGCACCAGCATCACATTTACAAGGTGTCTTAAAGGTAGGACTTAAACCCTGAAGCTAAAGCTTGAATGTAACTTTCCAAGATGTTTTTAATTGCTGTAACTCAGAATACTTATTGCTTGTAAAGGTGCCTAGCCCTTAAAGTAAATAAGTACATAAATAAATAGTACGTTCTTGGTCTCAGCTTCCCATAGTAGTGCATTGCAACCGGATTACTCACATGGGGAGGAATGCACCTTATGTTAATGTTGCTGCAATGATACTTCAAAAGTATTTCTTATTTATCTGTGAGCTACTAATGTTGTCTTTGTTTAGTTTCAGTGCGCACTGTACAGATAACAGAGTTTATTCAGGTGAGGCTCTCTCTTGCTATAGCCAGAAGAACTTGCTAATTAGTCTTTATATTGAAGAGAAATCCTCAACAATGTTAATTTTCATCAACCTGATGCTGACCATAGATCACAAAAGCATGTGAAAGAGGGGGAGGAAACATACTGTGCTTTATTAAATACTCGTGTTAGTTTCGACTGCCAGTGATACAGTAACATGCGGTTCTTACATTCATTGTACAGCCTCTTCTCTTTTGTAAATCCAGTTTGAATTATTTACAATGAATTATGAACATCCAAGAAAATCCCAACATTTCATGTATACCACAACTTAAAATAGACCCTGGTTTTTAGACTGATCCAGTCTAAACCAGAAGGTTTTTGAGGTGCAGTTGTAAGAGCTTTCCTTAGTGATTATGAAATTTCTACAGAAGACTAGTTAACAAAGGAGATGTAAATGTTTGTAGATCAATGGAATAATGTAGCAGGAGGGGGTTGCTTTTCCTGCACAAACAGAACTGGGTTTTGTGTGGTGGCTGCAAGTTGATCACTGAGGAGCATGTTTCCTCTCCTGCCCTATCAGGGCTCTCATTAATAATTATGTGCTTTCAGTTAATTAAACTGGAACAACACAAAAGTAGGCTTGCTTGGATAAGTAACAAGGAAACATACTTGGATTGTGTTTGGAGAAGGATTTTACTCATTTTATCAGTAGAATCACTGATCCACCAAATCTTTATTCATGCAAGTGATCTTTGCACTTGCAAATAATCCTGGTGTAGCTCACCATCTATGAATGAAACTCTTGTCTGCCTTAATATACACTGTTTATTTTAGTGACAGTAGGAAATAATCAAGAGTAAGTGTTAGAAGGCACAGCTTCAATTAAAAAGAAAAAGCCTTAAACATTTTGCAAACTATTCACACCCTCATTTCCAGATACAGTAGTCTTTAAAAAAATCAAATACTTTTATTTAGCAGCCTCTTCTAAGTCTCAAGTGAGCACTGTGATGCGTCTTCCTTATTTATTTTACGTTGGTTCCATATTGCTTACACTCTAAGCTAAGGCTCAAACATCACAGCCTCATATTGGTAACCTCAGGCATTCTGCATCCTGTGAAGCACTGTTACGGTATAAAGTATGGCATGACAAACAGACACATGTTCTGCCATCTCAGTGTCGTCACAGACTGGAACGTGGTCACAAAAAGTGCTACAAGGATATGACACAGAAAGGCAAAAATCAAAACTTTGTCAGAAAGTGAAGGTAATAGCATTTTTAACAGTGTGGTTGAGAAAAGGCTGTCTAGACCACAGAAGAAAACCAGTGTAACTGAGGATTTAATTAGACTTTTAAGTCTGAAACTACAACCCCAGAGAGACAATGGAGGTTCTTGTTAGCAAGCAGAAAGGAACTCCTGCAGCTTTCTGCCACCCTCCCACCCAAACCAGTCTGGCTTTGACGGGAGGAACCATGGCTACCCCATTGCACACAGTTCCTGTTCCCGTGAGTGGCAGATGCAGTACAGTGAGAGTCTTCCCTGCTCTCTCGTTGGTCCTGACGCACCTCAGGTCTGTGCTGAGACGGCAAAGGTCTTTAATGTTTGTCATCTTTAAGGCTAAAGGCACAAGCCCAGTGAGTTCGTAGAGTTGACTCACTCATCACAAACGTGCAGTAATTAGAATAAGAAAGAAATGCTAACATATGCTGTAGCTACGTAATCACTGATCCTTTTAAACTGTATGTTTAGTAAAGTTCACTTTGTGGAGATCCTGCCTTGGATTGTTCCTGTGTGGTCACAGCTACAGTGGGTTGGCCACTGCAGAGGTACAGCCTGGGGGATCTGAAAGTGAAGCAGGAACATAAGATCACGGTATGAAAGGGAGAGTGCAGGGATGTGGCCTGGTGTTCGCTTGGGCTGTCGGCAGCTGGAGTAGTCTTCAGTGCAGTCTCACTTCTCCCTCCTGCCAAGCATGTCCCTGGTCCTCTACTGGCCATGAAGCCCATGACCCAGCCAGGCTGCCTGTGTATTCCTGGGGAAAGACTGCAGAAAGTGCTACAGGAGCAATACTACACACAGCTTAATATCAATTGTGTAAATGCAACCAAAGTCTGGTTTTGGAAAATGTGGATAGAAATTTTGCGTGAGACTTTGTCTTCTGAGTTCTCCAGCCTTTCCTGGAGAGGAAAGGCTGTGTCTTTTAAAACTTCCCATGAAGATGGGAAAGTTTCCCCAGCACTAGTCATTCAAAATGCCTCAGAGAGAGAAAAGTGCCAGCAATCCATGAGGAACAACAGTGACAGAGTTACCGACAATGAGCCATCACTTAGGTTCAATGATACTAAGAAAGGAGTATAGCACATGAAGAAAACCAAGCCTCTGTGTGAGCTATTGCTTTGTCTTAATTCTGTATATAATACACACAGTTTTCTCTCTCTAGCATATTAGCAGACACCAGAGTAATAGCAAAAGGGAAAAGGAAGGTAAGCAAAGTGGTGGTGTCAATCTGAATGTCTAAACTCTGCCCACAGCAGACCCTTTAATTAAAACATCACTCTTCAGTGTAATCCACTGAATTGCTAAAGCAGCAGAGAGGTGATGTGGCTTGGATTTCATGGCATTGCTGGTTCAGTTTCTAACGCTCATCCAGCTGTTGCTGGGAGGTTAGTGCCTCTGAACCTCTCCATGCAGAAAAGGTACTTGCAAAGTCCTTGGAGGATGGAATGTTTTGTCTAGACTGTTATCTCCTTTCTCTCCTGGTCCTGATTTACTAACCTGGGGGATACCTTAAGGAGAGGCAGGTGAAGATTCCCATGGTCTGGCCCTGCACCTCCCTTCCTGCGGACCACAGCAAGGTGCTGACTGTCGCAAAGACCCCCATCACGTCAAACACCTGAGACTGCTCTCATTAAATAGATCTATGGGAGAAAGCCTAGCCTCCTAGGAAAGTGGCTGGTACCATGTCAGTGGTACCATCACTGGTGTGAATCATGAATTTGTGTTGCCATCAGCCACTGCACCAGCTAAGCATCTCGCTCTGTCTCCATCAAGCACTGATGTCTAGGTTAAAGGGGAACTGAAGCCAGAAGAGCAGTGTGGGATCACCAGCAGCTTCCACCAGTCCCATTTTTCCCCTGGGACTCCTGATTTGGGTACTGCTTTCCACAGCCCTCGTGACTGCCTGTCCATCTTGTAGATGAAGACTGACGCTCAATACAGGTAGGTTCTCACTTGAACTAAAGGGGAAAGGGGCTGCAGATATGTTTCCCCTCCCTATCACCAGCCATATGGTTGGCTACCTTATTGAAGATTTCATATCTATAGTGTGATTTGCAAATACATAGCAGTCCTCCAAGCATTAGCAGGATGTTCAGCCAGAGCAGGGGGAAGCAGCTCAGCTCAGTGCTGCGCTAGCATGGCTTTTGGTCTGCCCTGTGTACATCCTGCCTGCAAGCAGTACTACAGACCTGCAGGCAGACATACAGCTCCTTGCAGCACCGGCCTGGTGAAAG